AAAAAAAAAAAAAGGATCATCTTTATCAAATTTCATACAAAAATTCAAGTAATATTTTGTGTTGATACAATTTTATTTAGTGAAACCCTAAATACCGCCTCCTTTTCGATATTTACCGTCTTCTAAAAGACTAATTTACCATTTATTCATTTTTTTAAAAAGAAGAGATGTCCATCTTTAGAACTATTTACCGGTCAAACCGAGCCTCGAAAAATTCGGAAAACACCTCTGAATAATTCCGGCAATAAAATGCTTTCCAACAAGACCGGTCATGCGGCGGCCGACCGGTCAAAACAGCAGCCGACCAGTCAAACCGGCCAAAAATAATTTTTTTTTTGGGCCGGCCGGCCTCGAATGCCGGCCGTAGCCGTGCCGGCCTTCTTTTTGCCGGTTGGTCGGCCCATGCACGGCCGGTTTTGTCGGCCGGCCGGCCATTTTTTTTTTTTTTTTATCAAATTTTTTAATTATATACATTATATTAGAATTTAGATTTATGTTATAAATTAGAATTTAATATCTCATAGTTAGAATTTAGAAATTGTTAAAGTATAAATTATAACTAATTATTTTATAGAATTTTATTATTATTATGTTAGAACTCATAAATTATTATGTTATATAACATAATACTAATTATCTCTAATAAAATACTAATTAGTGATGTTATTACAAATTGTATTTCCCTTTTTTTCTTAAATCCGCTCCTTTTCAACTCGGTAATAAATTTTAAAATACAAATTAATATTTTGACTTAAATTTGAAATCCATAAATACCAATTTAAATAACAAATCGAACGAAAAAAATTGGATTCCGTTAGAGCAATTCATTGAGACCGATTAATTAAGTATGATTTGACCGAATTTTATGACAAGAGATTGTTTGACACTTTTCTCAGAGTTATATGATTCGTTTGAATATTATAGTAGGAAAAGCGTTCTAACAAAATAGTAATAAATTCTAATTTATAATAGTAATAATCAATACCATAATAATTTTTAACTTCTAACATAGTAGTACTAAATATTATTTCATAAGGCTATCAATTCTAAATCATACCATAATAATATCCAACTTTTAACATAATAGTAATAAATTATAATTTATAACATAATCAGTTTTAATCCATAATACAATAACCTCTAACAAAATAGCAATAAATTCTAATTTATAAGACAATCAATTCTAATCTATAATATAATAATTTCTAACCTCTAACATATTATTAATAAATTCTAATTTATAAGATAATCAATTCTAATATATAACATAATAATTTGTATTACTATATTTTTTTTTTCAAACTAGTATTTAATTTATAATAATATAACTTATACTAATTATACTAATATAAACACAGCTGAATATCACAATATATCATTAACATAATGAATGTCATCAATCACAAACATATTATACCATAACAATTTCCAACTTCTAACATAATAGTAATAAATTCTAATTTAGTTGCTTCAAAGCCCGATGTGCCAAGCCTTTGATTCTCTTTAGTCAAATCTTGGTCCATTGCTGTGACCCACGGTGCATTCCGACAACAAGCTCGGACTGGCTGAACCCGTCCCCGGGAGATAGCCTACCCGAACCCTACCTTGAACTTTCTTTGCTAATAATTTCTAACCTCTAACAAAATAGCAATAGATTCTAACTCACAAGACAATAAATTCTAATCTATAATACAATAATTTCTAACCTCTAACATATTAGTAATAAATTCTAATTTATAAGATAATCAATTCTAATATATAACATAATAATTTATACTAATATATTTTTTTCAAACAAGTATCATTTCTAATTTATAATAATATAACTTATACTAATTATACTAATATCATTTTTTTAACTGTATATGTTGTTAGTTCATTTTATCCTCAACAAGTGCATAACAAACATAACCCGAATTAACGTATAAACACGGCCGAATATCATAATATATCAATAACATAATGAATGCCATCAATCACAAACATAATATACCCTAAACCCTAAACCCTAAACCCTTAAACCCTAA